AGATGAATACATGGTTGATAAGAACCCCTGGGAGTGAAGTGATAGTCGCTTTCAAGCTGTTTTAAATAGGCTTTGTAATGTGTGTCTTTGTATGATCTTTCTTAATGTATAATTTACTTTGGAAAAATATGTCCCGCTGGATTTCCTCCTGGTTCTTCCTAAGACAGAGGTTTAATTTTCCGAATCAGTTGTAAAACAAAAAAACTTACTTTAAATAAGAAGTACTTGTAATCTATATTGAATAAAATATCTGTTCTAATTCATCCGTCCATTACAGCACATATAAAGGGTCGCTGCTGAATATATACCTCACCTATACTTTGCCTCATAGTTGGATATTTGCTTTTCTCAAATTAAATATTATGTAGGTGTCGATCATTATTCTTTGGACAAATTTATTTATTTTCACATACATACATAATATTTTCATAAATTATATTGGCTTGTAAAATTTATAATATATTTTTCCTTAAACAGTTAAACAAACATGAGAGCGAAAATTATTCATTGCACGTACTGCCTTTTTATGCCTTTATATATTGTTATAAGTTATTATCCACTACTGTGTCGGTTAGCGGCAAACTTAATCCAGAGATGGGTTGCAGCATATTCCTGATAATAGTTGAATAAATTTCAAGCGTGGAAACTAGGACAAAATACCTATGAGGCAATCTATGAGGGCGGCCTATATTCAATAGTGGACTTTTAATAGGCCGAAATGGTGATAGTAAAACCAGTATTCACGTCGGCTATATGTTCCCACAATTAGTGAAAGTGAAATTGTATATATATTTATATTATATAAAAAATAATTCTCAGTAACACTTTGTCAACATATTGCTGGCACTTATGCGAAGGTCATAGGCATAGTACAATTACGAGTAACTTAGGTACAGATGGTGGCGCGCGTATCGCAACAACAAATTTATTTGAAAGTTATATACTTATCATTCAACTTATTTTAATTTTTGATATTTCCACCATTATTTCTTCTGCGGTATCTACGCGCCGGGTACCAGCCAGTATTTGTATAAAATAATATGTAGCTAAAAAGTTCCTTAGGAGAGATTTGTAAGTGGTCCCATGGCAAATCACAAGTGTGTTCAGTCAACCATCTTAATTTTGTGTATTTTGTGTAATCCAGTGTGTGACAGAATTGGGTATGTATAAAGGTATAATCTTGCGACGCCTTCGTGTGACGGGTCAACCACCCCTTTAATATGGTTGAGGAGGGCAATGGCTGCCGTATGCGTCAATACTCGTGGACAGGTGCTGATTATGGGAGTCTGATGCGTTCTATTTGCACTTATTACGACGGCTCCGTGGCGCAGTGGCTTAGTTTGATTTGCGACGCTACACGGAACAAGTATTTGAATGGCCTACAAATAATAGTTCCGGGTCTGGATGTTTGTCCTTGTGCAATTTATGCTTGTAAACTGCCTCCACGATACAGGAGAAAATCCGTGTGAGCGAGAGAGGAGGGGCACGTTAAATAAAACTTATAAGCTTCAAAATTTTTTACGTCCTTTTATTAAATGTATCATATTTACTTTAATTACATAGTGATCTGTATATATGCTATTGTAGGATTTTTTTAAATTGACAAAAATACTAGCAGTTTCTTTCACCCGTCATATGAACCACATTTCGAAACGGTAGTAAAATTAAAAAAATAAATGAAATTTTATTTTCTTACATTGAGAGGAATTTCGTCTGTTTGTTGACGAATCTTTTCAACAGCAAAAGCGGCCAAGCTGAGTTTATTAGCCAAAATTATAAGAGATGGACCTCAACACAAAAACTGAAAGGGTTATAAACGGTGGTAATAATAATGCAAGTCCGTCGTATTTCTTTATTACAAGACCAGTCCCAATATATCTTAAACACATTTTACGATGTATCCACATCAGAGTCGAGAGAGACTATATATTTATTATGCATAAATCGAAAATTATTAGTTCAAAAACACTCCAAACTTTTTTACAAAATATACAGACATTTATTTTTTTATTTTAATTGCCTGGCATACAAGGCTTCATTGAAGGTTTCAAATCAAAGGTTCGTAACTTAAATGACGATGCGTTTAAGTGTAAATTTAAAATTCAAATGCAGTGATCATGCGGCGTGTACGATTTAAATGCAAATTTATTTTTAATCCCGTCCGTGCTCGTAAATTAATAAATTTATGGCCGATTGAATTTCATGTTTTTATATGCGTCGATAGAATGTGATCGTGAATGTATTTAACATTACAATAGGATATTTTTCTTTTATACTGTTTTGGAAAAATAAAAGATAAATAAAATAATTTTTAACTGATTTCTTGAATTTTTCAATTCAAGCAAAAGATCTCGATATTTTTTTTCTTTGGGAGAAATATACTCTGCGATAGCTAACAGCTAAACTTTTTCAGCGACTATTGGCCAATTAATTTTATAATTATAAATTTCCGTAGATATCCTCATTTCTAAATTTACCACGCAGAGGAATCTCGAGCATAGCCCTCTTCATAGCTCGTTGAGCGATCTTGAGATTCCTCATACGGCCAGCAGTGAAGGACCAGCAGCCTCGTATCGGTAGGTGAAGTGTAGGGCGATCCACCACTAGATGGAGTGAATACGGTAAGACATGCAGGAAGTCGACGAATGCATGTGGGTCAGCACCGTGCTTTGTGGAAGTCCTTGGGGGAGGCCTACGTTCAGCAGTGGACTTGTGAAGGACTGTAATGATGATGATGAAATTTCCGCAATGTAACGCCTAAATCTATTAATTTAATTTATATGAGTGCTATGGTTAGATCGCCTACCATCGTCTATTTGGCTCTAATCGATGTTACTATCTTTCGAGATTCGGTGAAGTTTATTGTGGTTACACAGTGACGGACTGGTTGTATATTGACGATAATGAATTGAATTTATTTACATCATCATCGGGCCCTAAATAGTCTACTTATATTGATGAACCTTTACTATAATTGTTGGCGATTTGCCATAACCAGTTTTGGCAGGCGAATTGGCGATCTTGCAAAACTAGACATTCCGCAGCTTAACAGCAAGCTCTAAAATGTTTATACTGCTATCTATCGGAAGACCTCCTCAAATTACGGAGCCTTCCTGGCATATTTCTGACTTTCTTATTTGTGATCTAACCCAAAAATAATATTTTTAAATAATATTGATAATTCCTTAAATTGGATACGCCAACTGAATGAGGTAAGAAGAAAACCTTTGTTCACTGCGTCGCCTTCGATCATTTCTTCCCGTTCCTCCAAAAGTTATGCTCTCACAGTCTCTTCATGTAGATATAACTGAGGACCAGCTAAATAAGCTTGAGAGACTTTAAAATACTAGTATTCGGTTCACATTTCCCAATTTCGCAAGTGGTTACCTATCCGACTTCGCCGGAACATGCATATTCTTTCTATTCTGTACTGTGTGTTATTTCACCCTTCTACCCCTACGTATCTAAAGGAGTTGTTTAATCTTGTAGGGCTTCCGGGGGAACCTCTACGCTCTTCAAAAAAATTACTTTAAGTTTTTTTTTTAAATTTTAATCTCACAATACATCATTTTTTATTAAAACTTTTATTGTCCAGTCTACGAGTATTAATCTCTGAAATGCCCTACGTTTGCATATACGTGAAGCACAATCTATTCTAATCTTTAAGCGATTACTTAAAGAGCATTACTTGTCGCAATCGTTCGGACACCATTAGGATAAATTATGTGATTATGTATTTATTGTATCTATCAGCTTTATATTATTGTTTGAGGAATTTTGTAATTTATATATGTATTTTTATTTTTATTATCGCATGTATTGATATTATATTTTGTATATTTACATTGCAACACCTACATACTATTCATTATTTCATTCCTTTACACCTTTGGTTGCCTGGAAGAGATCGCTTTGTAGCGATAAGGTCGCCAAATTGTACATATAATTTGCTTTTTTGTTATGTTATTTGCTTATTTGTTTGTGGTGTACAATAAAGTATATTCATTCATTCATTCACTCATTCAAAAGTTACGTGATTGTCATAAACAGATTTGAATATATAGGTTTTTTTAAATGAATATTGAAGTGATAAATGAATTCAAAGTCCACCTGATGGTAAGTGGATGTTGCATGCAGCCCATGGACATCCACAACCAACTTAAAACAAAAAAAAAAGGTTACAGATGAGTTGTCACCTCTGAAAACTAAGACGGAGTGCTTCACAGTCTGTAATAATACCGGCTCTCCTTAGCCTTCAGACTGGAAAAGCAGTGCAGGCATTGCTATTTGGCGACAGAGATAGATAAGAGGTATTATTATATGCCTAGAAGGAGTCCTGAGTAGAAAAAAATTCCTACTCCAAGAAAGTATTGTGGAGAGTACAAGAGCTAGTATAATTACAGGATGTGAAGCATTTCATCTCAGTCCCCAGCACGGCTAGCATGGGCTGGGGACAAAAATTTTATCCCCCGATTATATCCACTCACAAGAGGTAAAACTATCGTTTCCGTATGCCAAAGCACGGCAGCGGGGAGAAGTATATCCCCGTTTGACATAACGAGTAGACATATATTCCCCGTCCGTAGCATGGAGCCAAATGAAAGATAAAAAATTATGCTTTTTTGACATTTGAAAGGGACAATTCTATCTTAGTTCATTAGGCGTGGCTTTAAGTTTATATTAATACAAAAAATCTATCTAAGTCTATATCTATCTCCTATTTTATCTACTGTAGATATTATATCCACCGGTGTGCCTAGGGAATGCAATTCCGCAAGATAATTTCAATCCAGGTATTTGCTGGATTGAACCATCTTAGTCCCGCTGGATCCAGGTATTTGATGGATCCAGCAGGGTGGAACTAGACCTCTGAAATCTAAATTAAAGACTTCGTTTCCATGGTTTTAATTTGAAGTCAAATAAAACAAGCCTTTGGTATATTTTAAATGGTTTATTTATTACTTTAGACATACAGATGATGACATAAATTGCAGTGATAATTAAACATTATTTTGGAAGTAGCTTCTTAAAAAAGTTAAAGTATTAATTGTGTCATCTGCTAAACAGCTTCTGATATTGCACACAAGGTAGCCAGCAGCTGAAAAAGCCCGCTCAGCTTCCACGCTGGTTGGTACAATAGTCATAAGTGCGTTATAGGCGAACTGAAGGTAAGTGCCTTTTAATCCACCCGACTCGAAATAGTTCATTTCCTTCTTTATCAAAACCTCAAGGTTACTCATACTTCCAGACCTAGGTGGCTGGGCTGTTGAGCCAGGACTTTTGATACTAGTCAAAGTCAGTTCGAGTTCGTTTTCAAGTGACATTGGTGCTGCGGCTTCCGTTTGCGTCTCGAGATTAGAGAGAGGGATGTCGTCATAAGGATCATCAACAGGAGTAGTGGTTACTGCATTGCTTCCTGTGTACTCTAGCCTTTCTACTATATTTTTGATGGCCTTGCGTATTACACTCTTTGGAGGTAGATTGAATGTTTCATCATAAATAAATTGACTTTTGTCTTCTTCGTACTTATGTGGATCATGTAAGTATAATAAAACCGCTGTCAAGTCAGTTCGCCGCTCTGAGATACGTTTCCTCAACGAATCAACAAGTTTTCGGGCTAACGGTTTATTAATATTTATCAGTTTGCTAATAATAAATCTCAAAGTAGTTTCCGCAGTAATCAAATTAGACTCACGTCTACACAAAACTTCGACTGCTAATTTTACCGGCTGTAATATTCGTTCTAGATCCATTAGCACATCATATTCCTGTTCAGTGAAAACGTAGTCATGATTTGCACCAAGACCTAAGTCAATCAGGGTTTTCGATACGCACGATCTTATTTTGTTGAATATTGTTATCATTTCGCACAGGCTTGACCACCTTGTTTGACAATCCAACAATAAAGCAATATTTTTTCCCATGTCTTTTGTCATATACGTCTGCAGCAGATCGTTTTTAGTAGGCGAATTTTTAAATAGTTTTACTACTTTTCGTACCTTCTTAACAACTTCTGCATATTCCACAGTCAGGTTTATTTCACTTGTAGGTGTAGGAAAAGACAAATCAAAAATGTCATTTTCGTCATTTTCCAAGTCATTGTCACAATTCTCATCAGCTCTTTCACTAACTGTCTCATTTCGCACTGACATTTCTTCATTTGATGCTTCGTGGCCACTACGTGAAGATGTATTTTGTTTATAAATAACATCCAAAACAGCCAATTGGATGCCATGTGCATAACAGAGTTGTTGATGGGGTTTGATGAGTTTCCCAACTTTTACCATGACTTTGGCACCATCTGTGGTAATACAGATTACATCCTTATCTAAAGATAGCTCGTATTCTGATAATTTTTCTTTTAAAACAGTGATACATGTTTCTGCAGGTAGACTTCCGTAAATCTGCACCAGCCCTAAGTTCCAAGAAATAGATTTTTCATTAGCCAAGGCGTGAACATTAACGTTTAAATAGCGCCTATTTCTCGTTGAAGTCCATTCGTCGAATGTGAGGGTGAATCTGTGGTTGCTCTCTTTCAGCTTTAGGAGATCTCGAATAATGGTAATTTTTACAGTCGTGCCGAAATGCATAACCATTGATTTGATAGAATTAGGCGATTTTGGTAACTTATAGCCCCCGGCTTTAAAAAGGTCTCGTAAATCCGACGAGGTGCAGAAAACCCGGAATGGAAAACCATCTTTTGACACCATGCGTGATACCCTCGTTTCTACAGCACTGTTTGCACTTGGAAATTGGTCAGTGATTTTGTGCTTCTTTGCCGAGGTTGATGGTTGAGCTTCACAATGAGTCGATGTCGAGGAACTGGACGTTGACGCAGTTGCAGAAGCTGCAGCACTTCCGCTCCCGTCTGATGCGCTTTCCTTGTCAATTTTGTGTTTTGACTTTAGATGCACATGTAAACCTTTTGTCGAACGTCCGGCCGTTTTAATTATTGATTTACACAACTTACATTTAGCGGTTTGTGAATCTTCGGCTTTCAAAAAGTACTTCCATACCACAAAAGTCTTTATACACTTTTTCCGACATTATTGTCATTCATTAAATAATACAAAACCTGGAAATTTCTCAGTTTATTCAGATTTATCTAAAGAAATCAATATTCTATAAAAAAATCACTGCGTAACGTCATAATCACCAGTTGTAACTGGCAAAATATTAAGTACACAAACAAAGGCGGGGGAATCCCCGCGCCCTCACACTGTTTCTCTGCACCACGCATCGCTTAGCTCAGTTTACGCGCCACCGCGCGAATATTAACACGTATGGACCATGCTTCTCTGTAATCCCGCCAATCCAGCGGGATTCCGTAATATTTTCGTACGAGATTAGTCCCGCAAAATGCATGCGGAATCCAGGTATTTCGGGATCCAGGTATCCCGGTATTGCATACCCTAGGTGTGCCCATGCTCAAAGGGTGGATGCTAAAAGAGCGGATAAACATTTTCTCCTTTCCCGGGGATAAAATTGTCTCCTGCCCTGCTCTGCTGGGGTGGCAACTGATATGCACCCTTATTTTATCCTAGTTGCAGTTGCCTCAGGTAGCCACCTACCATCAGGTGGGCTGTCAGCTCGTTGGCAACTATCTTACTATAAGAAAAAGTTTTTAGGATATTCCATACTATCCTATATAAATTTATCCTAAAAGTACTAATGTAAATGTCATCAGGTTATTCATCCCGTGTTAATTTTGGAAAAGTACAACTCAGATTCGCTAAACATTTTGTTTCGGTTCGTTCAACATGTACAGATGGGAGTCATTATTTATTCCAGCGATACCAAACGCTTTGATGAGAGGCCGGGCATTCCTTAATCGCCTGATCGACGTTCGGGATGTGCAAGTACCTTTAATTGTTATTTCGGTATCGGATTCGAGCCATCGACGCCGTACCGGAGGCTTATTTATGCGCATTTTTCAGGAGGGACCACCAAAGCGTAAATAAATTTGAATTGATTTATCACGCCAATCGTGGAAGGCATGGGTACGTACAACATGTTTTTAATTTTTATTTGTAACTCGCGTCCTTTTATATTTTTATTTTATTTATTACATTTATTTATTAATATAAAAACAATAAAACTAACTTTACGAATTTTATCAACACATCACTCCCCTTTTCAGTGACCGGAAACTTAACCAAAACGACAGCCTCGCGTTCACTACTTATCCCATGCGGAAAACATTTCTTCAAAAATTTTTGGTTTTCGAGACTTGTGTTAGTTACTATTGTGACTGTTATCTGATCTATAAGACTTCATCAGACCCGTTCTCTGATGGTCACACAAGTGTTATAACAGATGGTATAGTACGGTGGTAGCCCCTTTCGCAGAAATCTTTCAGGGAAAAAACCATACTGAACGTACTGAATTTTCATACAGAATAATAAACAATTACACATAGCCCATAAACGTGTACATCTATTCTAGATTAAGGATCAACGTGTAAATGCGTTACTACCTCTAAGGACTAGGGTGAACTTAGGATTACCAGTGAAAAAAGTCCATGGTTCTCAAAAGAAACCAACCTAGACTTAATTTTTTCAAGTATATTTAAGTGTGATCATAATGTAGCAAGGAAAAACGTATACTTAAAAAAACATGGGATTTTATTGTGATCAAAGCCGAGTTAAGATAAATAATATTAATTTATGTCAGACTAGCATACATCCGATAATTATGTTAGTAATTGGTCTCATAGTCTAGGTCTAGTAGTAAATTTTAAATATTATATATAATTGTTTACGATAACCAATGGCACCAGGCACATGCACGTGCAAATGCATCCAGTATCCTAGGATTAGACAAACATATTCATAGGATTGTGCGTGTGTGCCAAAGGTTCGCTATCCTTATTCTATGCACTTGAAACTCAGAATGTTGTTAAAGGAATTTCATCATCAATAATAATGAAAACATAAAAAATAAATATTTTAAATAAATTTGTAGGCATAAGCACAGGATAAATAACACATAAGTAAAATAAACAAAGCAACTTGACCTCGCTATAGCGTGACAGTTCCTTATGCGTGAGTTTTGAATGTAATTAGGGTGACAGCTTGTTTACGCGTGTTTCAAAAAAGAAAAATAATCAGTACGTCACATAACTGTTCTTTTTTTATAGGAGAGGGGGCAAACGAACATACGGCTCACCTGATACCATACTTACCAAAGTGGCTACCGATTTTTTCTATACTGATAACAAATTCAACACTTACCAATCTTTAGATAATAAATTTAAGAATATTTTTATTTCATTATATAAAAAATGTTTGAAGTATCAATAAGTATGATATAATAGATATGATGTATTGACCCTAAGCTTGCCGTGTTAAGGATTTCTTGTGTCTAATCTCATCTTATCGAGTGTAATGGTAGAACATTACACTCGTTTCGCTCTTTCCTGTAACACAAAATTAAATAAGTACACCAAGACTCTACATTTTGGTTTAACTAGATGAGAGCAAAAGTAGTCGTAAAGCTTTCGAGGGTGTCGGCTTACAAGGTTTTAAAGCCCCTCGACAATATTTCCCAAATGTCTTCAAGTCGAGCTTAATTGTCAGCTAATTGCTGTAAGCTAAAGCATACTTATGATTCGGGGCTTGTTGTTGTTTTATCCTAGTGCAAATATCTTCCTTTTGTACTTTCTGGTAGATGGCGCAACGAATTTAACTACAAATTCACTTCGGACTTTAACAGTGCATGTATGGTGTGATTTCCTTATTTACTTATCGGATAGTTAAATAGCTGCAAACCATCGTCTCTACAAAACTAATGTATTGTGTAAAAATTACTTCAATCGTTGGAATCGTTCAGAACTATCACGATCACTAACTAGTGCGATTATACATATTTATAAAAATTATAACCAAAAGAAAAATTGGCGGGTGGATTTATTATGCTAAATGTATATTTAGTTGTCATGTCGTATATAAGTTTTAAAACAAATGCATGATTAAAATATAAGTATTTGAAAAACGCAAGTGATTAAATGAAAAAACGAAAACCTTAGCTTCTTCAAAAACGCGAGCTCAATTTGTATAAGTCAGCCTGCCTGATGTTTAAAACGTTCCCTAGACACGAGCTGTCAAAATAACTCACGCAATAAATGCTGCCATGAGCGAAGTGGAAGTAAAATGTTGCTTTTTGTTCTATTTTTCCCGGAGACATCGATGAATTTTTCCAATCCAACTCTAGCTTTTTTTTTTTAATTTGAGAATAAATAATTTGTCTTCGCGAAGTGCTCTTTAGAAATAGAAATCTTTTATAATTTACAATTTCTAAACAATGCAGAAAATCTAGGTCGCTCAAACACGACCTCTAATATTTATTTCCATAGGGAAAAACAGCATTCAAAAATGGAACTTATAAAACAGAAAGAGATTTTAAAAGTGACATATACGAGTACAATACCAACGATATTGTAGTAAGCAAATAATGTGAAAAAATATCTCATTTTGAAGCGTAATTATCTTCTATTATAATTATATGGGTATCTATATATTTTTCTTATCTGATTGGGCTGTATAAATATATAATGTGTTAATAAAAATGATAAATATAGACAAATATCAAATATTATTATTTTTAATTATTTATAGGATAGGGGTAACAAACGAGCACACAGTCCACCTGATGGTAAATGGTTGCTGTGACCCATAGACATCTACATCTATCCTCGATTATGTATCAAAATGCAGATGCGATGTCACCCATAAGGACTAAGATGAAATGCCTCTTTTTTAGTAAAAAGGGTCACCGGTTCTCTACACTCACCATATGAAATACAGCAGCGTTATGCTGCTATTTAACGCTGGTATTCTGAGAAAGCGTGGTCCTTCACCAGTCGAGCCGACCCATTCGTGCTACAACTATACCAGTAATATAGTTGCAATATGGCTCTAATACGTAAATATCCATTACATAATATTTCTTCTATTATTTTTAATGAAAACTCCGGTATATTTTATTATTCTTATTCTAGTGTCCTTAAATTAAGTAATATATAAGTCGCAGGTTTATGGTGAAATTAGGTTTTAATCAAAAACCTGAACTTGCTTAGGTTTATGATAGTATTTTAGCTTAGGTTAGGTTAGGTTGATTTTATCATAAAACTAAATCAATCCAGGTTTTTGATCAAAACCAGGTATTATCATAAGCCTGTTTCATATATAATAACTATAAAATCTGCTAATAAGTTAAAAATGTTACTAATAAATTGTTTGTCTATATCACGGTAATCATATTATATCTAGTGAATAATTTCTTACACAATTTTGATTAAATATACCAATAAATTTTCAACATCTATAAAATGTTCAGTTGTTTTAGATCAATACTTTAAAATTTAAAGAAAATGTCTCAATTGATGAATGATTGTATGATGATGAAGTATTTTGTTGAGTTAGTATTCTAAAATCAACGTTTGAAAGTCTTATTTAAATAATAAACTTGAAAAAAAATTTATATTTTGACTACTAACTCCAAAGGGACCAATAAAGGGACTTCTTCAAACCCTTAAGCTTAGTAACTGAAATACGTTAGAGATGGTCAAATGCATACATAATATTCATAGAATGACCTTAACTTGACCTGGACTCAACTTATATTTTCGGAAACTCGTGTCCCTCGTCTGATAAAATACATTGGATATAAGTTAGTCCCTCTTGTGTCGAACGAGAAACGATAAAAAGTAAAATGAATTTCAGAGAGGGTTATGAAGCAATTAGCCCGTCGCGCTGGCTCTAGTGTGTGTGTATCCTCGATCTAAGACAAGTATGTTGCTCCAACACTTGCGATTAACAAGTTCGTTGGTGCCGGCGGGAATCGAGCCGAATGGCTCCCTTACTGTGAAATTTACTTTATTGCTTATTCTCTGAACTATTTTATATATATATATAATTATTTTTATTGACAAACGAGCACACAGTCCACTTGATGGTATGTGGATTATTTGGCACATAGATATCTACATTTATAATCGATT